GGCAATTCTGTCTCAGTGAAGGGAGGAATTCTCTGGAGAAAAAACAGACTTGCAAGGGATGGAGGAGGAAAAATGGCTTTCAATTATCCATGTTATCTTTCCCTACTAATCATTACAGATGATGAATAGGTGCAATAAAAGCCAATATTCAATTTTTCCAATTTACATGGAAAGAAGGCCATAATGTATTGTTAAGGGGAAGAAACGGCAGGTTAGCCACAGTGTATATAATATGATCTCATTTTGCAATACATTTGTATGCAGGGAACAGTCTGGAGGGACTTATACAGAAATGTTAACAGTAGGACTACAAGTGACTTTCATTATTTTTCCCATCTGTATTTTCCACAATTAACATGTGTTGTGACTGTAATAAGAAAAAGTCATTATTTTTAAACTTCCCTGTGAATCATTTAGATTCAACCAATATATGCTGACTACCCACTATGTGTCGGACGTGAGAATTAGTGCTTTCAGAGGTCAGCACACAATTACAGTGGATTTTGTTGATAAACAGGCCATTTTTCCTGGCTGTTTTACAGAATTTTAGACTCTTACAAGGTGAAAGGGCCACGAGAGTTTATCTAAAGATTACATTTTAAAAATCGTGGTGAAATACAGATAACATAAATTTTACCCTTCTATTATTATTATTGTTATTTTTTTGGTGAAGAAGATTGGTCCTGAGCTAATATCTACTGCCAATCTTCCTCTTTTTACTTGAGGAAGATTGTCCCTGAGCTAACATCTGTGCCAATCTTCCTCTTTTGTATATGGGACGCTGCCACAGCACAGCTTGATGAGTGGTATGTAGGTCTGTGCCTGGGATCCAAACCCATGAATCCTGGGCCACCAAAGTGGAGCCATGAACTTTACCACTATGTGACTGGGCCAGCCCCTGCCCATCTTAACTATTTTACGTGGACAGTTTAGTGGCATTCAGTACATTCACACTGTTGTGCAACCATTACCACTGTCCATCTCCAGAATTCTTTTCATCTTGCAAAACTGAAACTGTGCCCATTAACGACGACTCTCCATTCCCCACCCCCAGCCCTGGCACCCACCATCATACTTTCTGTCTCTGTGAATTTGACCACTCTCGGGACCTCAAGTACATGGAATCACACAGTATTTGTTTTTTTGTGTCTGGCTTCTTTTACTCAGCACAACGTCTTCAAGGTTCATCCATTTTGTTGCATCTGTCAGAATTTCCTTCTTTTTTAAGGCTGAATAATATGTATTATGCCACATTAAAAGGGTATATACACAATACAATATATATACTACATTTTGTTTATCCATTTATCTGTCCATGGACACTTGAGTTGATTCCATCAATTGGCTATTGTGAATAATGCTGCTAAGAACACGGGTGTACAAATATCTCTTTGAGATCTTGCTTTCAATTTGGGTATATAATGGTTAGATTTTAATGCAATCTCAGATTCAAAGGCAGAGAATATGCCAGTATTATTACTGAGATTTGAGCATCTGTCTCTGAATATCCATGGAGAAAGGTGCTCACCAGCTCATGAGGCAGTACAGTACACTGGTTAGAGAGGACAGGTCTTGGAGTCAGACAAAATTGGGAACATTTTTTTTTTTTTGAGGAAGATTAGCCCTGACCTAACTACTGCCAATCCTCCTCTTTTTGCTGAGGAAGACTGGCCCTGAGATAACATCCATGCCCATCTTCCTCTGTGTTATACGTGGGACACCTATCACAGCATGGCTTTTGCCAAGCGGTGTCCTGTCTGCACCTGGGATCTGAATTGGCGAACCCCGGGCTGCCGAGAAGCCGAATGTGCCAACTTAACTGCTGCGCTACCAGGCTGGCCCCTGGGAACAAATTCTTGCTCCACTCCTCACCACTGGATAGCTTAGGAAAATCAATAGTCTCTTTAGGTCTCAGCTTCCACCTCTATAAAGTGGAGATAACTCTATCTATCTTATTGGGTGGCTGTAAAGATTAGTTGGATAATGTACCTAGAAAATGCTCAATACATAGAGGATATGCATAATCAAAGAACTCTTCTTAAAGAAAGGTCTTATGATAAACTGAAAGGTACCTACTTAAATGTCCATGCATTGCATTATTTACAATAGCCAAGACGTGGAAGCAACCTAAGTGCCCATCAACTGATGATTGGATAAAAAAAATATGGTATATATACACAATGGAATACTACTCTGCCATAAAAAAGGATAAAACCGTCCCATTCACAACAACATGGATGGAGCTTGAGGGAATTATGTTAAGTGAAATAAGCCAGAGAGAGAAAGACAATCTCTGTATGACTCCACTCATATGAGGAAGTTAAACATGTAACTAAAGAGAACAGATTAGTGGCTACTGGGGAAAGGAGGAGTGGAGGGTGGGCACAAAGGGTGAAGTGATGCGCCTACAACATGACTGACTAAGAATAATGTACAACTGAAATTTCACAAGGTTGTAAACTATCATAATCTCAATAAAAATTAAAAAAAAAAAGTCCATGCATTACTAGTTCAAGTTCTGTCTGCTGGAAAACAGACTGTATCCCATCTGCTCCTGCGGCTCGGCGCTGTGGGCCCTGAGGAGGCCTCCCCCAGCAACGGCCTCAAAGAAAGCAGGCCGTCCGACTTAGCACTGGTTTGTGGATTCATGGGCAGGGCCGCTCTTCTGCATCCATAAAGCTCAAGCATCTGCTCGTGTGACTTGTCAATTTGTACTTCTCCAAGGGCAGAAAGTAAAATTTTGTTTTCCCAGAAAAACCTTTCCTGTAATTCAATTAATACAAATTTCATGCCTTATTAAGAGAAATACCAATATAGAAAAATGCAAGCTTGCCTAGGAAATTAATCTGCAGGCTACATTCAAATTATGCCTTAAAAAAATCCCTTTTATGAACTGATGTCCTCTCAAAAAGGAGCTTATTCTTTAAAGTATATTATATTTATTACCTATATCTATACATGTCTAACACTTTAAATGGCTCCAGAAAGTAGTTCCTTTTTTTAAAAGAAGAGTCCATACATACACCTTAAAATTAAAATATTTAGAGTACATAATTTTTACCTCAGTATATATTTCTTTGGGAAAAATGTAACTCCATCAGCACAGTTTCTCATGAGATGAGTGGGGACGGCTTCCTTCAGGCCAATGTGGCAGGTGTCACTGTGATAAGGAACATCTAAGCTGTTGTCCTACAGTGCCAAATATTTAATGGAAACCAAAAAAATACAGTTCCAGATGCCAATATTGGGTCTACATGACATCATTCATCCAGATGTGTGGAAAATCTGGATTTTTAAGAATTGAATTTTTGTGGTCAACATCATGAAGAGTCCATTTCTGGGTTAAATAAGGCATTTGTGGCACAAAGCCATATTGGAATAGAAGATGTTTTGATTGTCGAGAAACAACTGAACGGAACACGGGGTACAACTGCAGTGCTGGGACTCGCAGCTTACGTGAAACACCATGTGGAACACAAGCAGCACGTTTCCAAACTGCACTCTGAGGTTCTTATGAAGCAGCCTGAGCACACAGTGCTTTGAGCAAAGCAATCATCACACAGGGTCACTGTCCCCAGTTCTCCTGACTCACTGAACCCGAACCCTGACCCAGGTACAAAATGAAATGATGCTCTTCTATTTTAATGCACTTAAGTAATCATTCAGTTTCAAATTCACCAGTTCAGTATTTGAAGCTATGGGAAAGGGAATGATAAACATAAACAATCTTATGGGGGGTGCTGAATGGGAGAGGTCAATCCCAGATGCCATGTACACGCCAGTCAGGAGAAACAGCAGAAGTCGGGGTTCAAGAGTGGGGTTTCTCCTCCCCTGGGCTCCCTTTCCTCCAGACGCCTCCTCTGAGGCTCTACTCTTGGGACCTGCTTCAGTGGAAGGAAGGCTTCAGATGCGAGACAGTTTAACTTGCACTGCCGACACAGCCAAAAACTAAAACCCTCCATAGAGCGCGCAGATGGGCCCAGGAAGGCAAACCCACCTGAGCAGGACACCAAGCCACAGTCTCACGGACAGACCAACAGCTCTGAATTACATGTCTGGAGCTTGCACACTCAGGCCCAGGTGCGAAACATCTTGGAGAACTGCTTCAAACCCCTCACAGAGAAAATACTTTCTTTATGTCAGTTATAATATGGTCATGTTCTAATTAGGACATTAGAGGGTAGTTTCTTTGAAAACTTGAATCTAATTCTATTTAACAAACCTCTAAATGTCTCTATATCCACTACCTTAAACTCCAAAAACCTTTCATTGTTTCTCAGTTAAGAGCAGCCATTCCAAAACTTTTAAGAGAGATTTTTTCTCCTTGACCTATACTAGCACAAAACACCAACTATCTATTGAAAAACAAGCTCTAAATGTCCTGGCATACTCTTTTCTCAGTCACCTCAAACTATGACATTATATTCACAGACAACCCCTCCCATCTCACTGCACCTTGCTCCCCAGTGGCCAGTGTAGCCAGTAACAAACATCTCCTGTTTCTGCACCAACACCAGCAACTTAAGAGGGCTCAGGAAACCTTTCCATCTTTTCTTTCTGAAAGTCTGCCAGGTTGCTGGGGACCCCACAATGACTACAGAGTGGCTGATCTCTCATTCCCAGCATGCACAGTGATGTCAAAGGCAACCAAGCTTGCCTCCCCTCCCGTGGGGCCTCCTCCCGCCGGCTCACTCTAGAGACAGGAATTCCTAGAGGAGGGAGCACACACCACCTAACATTGAGAAGCCTTTCCTGCCACAGCAAAAGCGGTTCTGGCACAGAAGCCCTCCTCTTCTACCCCTCCAATACAAGAAAGAAAAACTGCAGCAACATTTTCTGAGAACACATGGACATGGCTGAAGGGCGGGATGGTGGGGCTGGGGGGAGAGGGGACCGACAGGGGCTGGGACAGGCAGCCTGCTGTGCCAACAGACAGGTTACAGTGCACCTGATGAATAAAACGAGCTGCACCACATACAGAAAAGAGGAGAGCGGCCCACCTGTGTCTGTTGAGGGATATTTACAAAGCTTGGATCCCGTGGTCCAACACTGACGAATCGGTTTGCGGGGGAGGTGCTGGGTGTCGAGTAGGCTGTGAAGGGAAGGGACACATGCGTTCAGGAAGCAGCACGAGATTGCACACACAAACAACACCAAAACACACAGTCTCCGAGCCTACGCAGCTGATTAACAAGGAAATGTGCAAACGCTGTAGCTGGCAAAGGGACCTGGCTAGCAAGGGCATTTTAGACAGTCAAGAGGGAGAGGGTGTTGGCTTCCGAAGACTGCCAGAGTAAAACAGTGTCAAACTGGTGCTCAGACGAGCTCTTCTCTCCTTCCATCAGACAAATGAGAACATGCAGGATCTGCCTTCTGAGTTAAATACGAGCTCTTGGTCAGACAGAGATCTCCTAGTCTTTGGAGCACAGGGAGAAAGAAATTAGGCAGAAAGGGAGGGAAGCAGTTTCTTGAACAACCTTGCCGTTCAGACTATTACACTCCTAAAAATCATAAAGTGTTCCTGTGCCTCCAAAGCTAAACATCCAAGAGGAGTCTTTATAGAAGGAATTAATGGGTTCTCCAAAAAGGAGGTGGAAAACCATTTAGAAAAGGCTGTCTTTATAGGACCAGTAGAGTGTCCAGAATCTTTATGATGCACAAAATGTGCTTAAAATATTACCATTTGTCATCTTCCCAGGCTGGAACCCCTCTATTTAGGCACAAACTCAAGAGCCCGTGTAAGCCAAGATGTGACACTGGAACCTCAGGTACCACACTTCAGTTCACTCTCCCATTCATAGCACACGGAAGTCTCGTTGCTGGTTTTTCTATTTATATTTAAGAGCTTCGCTCTACTTTAGGGAGAAAAAATTCAGTGGCTTTGGTGTTTCACTAGCTCATAAATCCAAATGGACAATTTATTTTTTGGGTGTCCTACAATTCATTTCTTTACCACAACTCCAATGATTTATCTATATTCTTTCCTTGTACTAGAATTTTTAGATCGACTATTGCTTAATTTCAAATTTCTTAACAATACTTGTAAAAAGCCTAAGATTTTTGGACTAATTCTACACACATCATCTAAAAGATGAAAAAGATTTGCTATTTTTAAAAACACAGATGACTGAGGGAATAATATCAAATTCCTTTGCCAGATTTTTTTTTCCCTTATTGACATCATCTGTTTCTCTTACTTTGATTTTCTCTTTTATAGAAAACTGCTCCAACTTCTTTTCCCCTTGTTAAATACATCTAGAGATAAAATTTCCACCAATCTGGCCCAAGTCATGTTGGTCATCTTTGGGAAGAGCTAGGTCACCCACACAGATCTGTGGCTGTGTTAAACCAGCACGGAACACAGGATGCACAGGAGGGTCCACTGACGTCTATTAATAAGAAACTCTGTGTTGTTGTAGCATTTGTCCGATAATAGCATTCGATACAATGATCTCAATGTATGAGGTGTTGTATTGTCTAGCAATGTGAATCTAGTGACTTCCTCCCTAGCCTATCCTATGTCAGAGTAACTTGAGCAGATTTGAGAAATACCTCTGCATTTAGCCATTCTGTATGTGCCTCTCACTCACTGGTATGGGGCAAATTTAACTTTTTAAAAGCTCAGTAAAATATTCTTTATTGATGCCTCCATTTAGCCTTTACTTTGATATGCTTTAAGAAGTCACAACAGGGCCTGGCCCCGTGGCCGAGTGGTTAAGTTTGCGCGCTCCACTGCAGGCGGCCCAGTGTTTCGTTGGTTCGAATCCTGGGCGCGGACATGGCACTGCTCATCAAGCCACGCTGAGGCAGCGTCCCACATGCCACAACTAGAAGGACCCACAACGAAGAACATACAACTATGTACCGGGGGGTTTTGGGGAGAAAAAGGAAAAAAAAAAAAAAAGAAGTCTCAACAGAAAGTTATATGTTGAAAATGATGGACTATAATTACTGGCATAGTATTTGCCTGCTCCTAGGGCACAAAGAGGATGTGGGAGAGAGGAGGAGGAAGCTAGTAGATGAAATAACCTGTTAAACCTGTTAGTGATTAAGAGAAAAAAGCGTTCTGTCACAGGTGACTAGGTAGGTAGGTTGAGAAAGAACAAAAAGGCATGAAGAAAACACTAAGGTGCTAAGTGACCGGCGACAGAGGCTGAACCCGCGTCCTTGGCCTGCAGGTCCTGGCAGACCTGCGAGCATCACCTGCATTGTATTGTAGACAGGCAGTAGGACTTCCCAAGACATCCTAACATGTCGGTGACAGCAGACATGGGCGTGCTGACCGACCCTGGGATACAGGGCATTCTTTCTGCTTTTCCTTTTTGTGTGAAGATAGTTCTCCACTGACCACAGCAAGTTTACTACATCTGGAAAGGTTTATATAACATCCCATTCTCTATTTCTGCCAGACCTAAATTTCTCCATTTGAAAGAAGGGTTAGCACACAAATAACTCAGCTACTCAAAATTATTAGGAGGCTAACAGCTGGATATTTTCTCTTCTTCAATCACAAGACAAGCCTTGCAGTCCTAGTTTCAAAACACCTCAGCAGGCCTTTTGTGCTCTTACGGGTTACTGAAACTGCTCCAACATTTATTCTGGTTTTTAGAAAAGAGAGCAATGGTGAGAGAGATGGCAGTGTGTCTGCATTTTTTTTTTTTTTCAAAAGGATAACACAACTACAGAAATCTGGGAATCTCTAAGTACCCAAGTTACCGAATGGAACAAATGGTGCCCAGGGAAATTTATTTTATAGAAAGCCAGCTTCTGGGAAAAATCAAGGACACAGGAAAAACAAGGGAAGGAAGAGAGAAATTCTGACTCATCTTCCATTATCATAGCTACAACAGGCAGAGCGTTCACCTACAACAGGACGTAGTTCCAAAAATGATATGACATAAGCGAACTTGATTTTCCCAAAGAAACAGTGGAATACGGGAGTTACGCTGTTGAACAAAAACCTCAACTGACACTTTTTATTAAAACAACCACATATAGCATAATGAATCAATTATACATGCACAGTTAGGAACTTTCAACACGAATACAAAATCAGGTAAAGGGGCTATGTGGTAATTAATTACACACAACTGTGTTTACTATGCCATGATACCACATTCACATCTTTCTTAATTATAGTTCTTGCCTTACAACTTCAATAAGCAAATGCTGCAGCAAGAGCTTCAGGAAATCAGGAAATCCAGAAAATAACTTTCTGTGAAGATTACTGTGGGCATTTTTGAGGATTCTAGAGGGAAGGCTCAGGGATATTTGATAATTTTCTGATAAAGTCAACAGGGGAATCGATTTGCTTATATAATCTCATTGTAAAGGTCCTCATGGCAAACACGACTATTAGAAACCAAGTTATTATTTGGCTGCGTCTGAAACAGAAACGTTTTCTTTTTTAGCAGCCATTTTACCTACATGAGCAATATCGCCACAGACCATTTTCCTAATGTTATAGAAGAACATTCCTATAAGAAGCTTCCACCAGGTCTTATTTGCACTAATTTGCTCATATTTTTCCTCTTTGTAATGTCTTTCTTCATATCATCCAAGAGTCTTAGTGTGGCCTTACCCACAGTGGTTTAAGTATCAACATTCAAACCAGAATTCGACCTCATATCCAGAAAACCCCATTCTTCTGTATTTTCATGCATCATATGCATTGCTAATTCTATAACCCTTCACTTAGCAACACAGGGCCTGCCTCAGGGTGAGCAGTTGAGGAATGGTTCAAGAGCATTCTCTTTCTTTATGAGCAATAGTTTTAAGGGGACTCTGTCTCTGGGGGCCGTGGGGAGGGCAGGAAGACTGGCAGAGATCGCCCACAAGCACTGTCCCTCCTGACAGTGCAGGTGTCCCTGCAAGAGCTCGGCCAGTGTCCCCAGAAGTGCATGTGACTACCCGCCTGCAAGCAGACAGAGGCCGACTTTCATGTTCCCAAGGTGTCAGGTTTTGCTTTGTTTTTTCCTTTTTCTGAATAAGAAGGAATGAGGGATGCATCTAGACAAAGGAAGTGCGGTAATCCCAGATCAATCAGTTGGGAATCTTTAACGGCCTTCGCCCCACAGTCCTACCTGACTATGGTGTTACAAAGGTGGCCAAACTGTTTTGAACAAAAAGGCTTGGAGCTTTCCTGTTTTTGAGAAAAATATGACTGAAGAAGAGGATATCAAGATGTTAAAGTATTTGTACAAATGTCAGTTGATGTTTCTTTCAGATAAAAACCTTATCAATAAAATCACTCAAGTCAGACAAATGAGAAAATGTGAGTCTGCATCGCGCGTCTGGAGCAGGCAGACAGAGTCGAGGTCTGGGTCAGGCTAAGTGCTGAAATGTGCGATCATGGAAAGGCAGGGAGGGAGGACGTGTGGGCGGGCTGCTGTATGGAGCATGGGTGCGAGAGGACGGCTGCCCTGGACGAGCCCTTCTAGCGCCCACCGGCGAGTGGTCATCAGCCTGGGATGACCTGACTGAGCAGGGCTGTGGTCGGCTCTTCCACAGTAGCCAGGGGGCAAATGACACATGGGGCACCTGGCAGAAAAGAAAAGGTGAGAGGCCTGGCGAGCCCTGAGCTCTGAATTTACCTCCAGACATGGGAGGCAACGATGTCCCCTCAACCCGCAGCTGGCCAACAATCGCACAGGAGTCCAAAGAGAGGCGCTCCCTCCATCATACTCCAACCATGGGGAAGGTGGGAGCGCCATTCTTCACACCCTGAACCCCACCAGGTCACCTCTGGGGTGCACCTCAGAGAGACTCGTGACACACCCACATCCCTTCTCCATCCGTCTGTCTGTGCATCTCTGGCGGACACTGGCTGTGTGCCAGGCTCTGTACTGAGCATCACAGGAGATACAAAGGTGAGCAGGATGCACAGCTATCCTCAACGTGTTAGAATCTAATGGGTGAGATGAGCACAGGAAACGAAGATGTGAGTGTTGAAAAAATATAAAAGGACAGACACGTGACACGTGGCAGGGGACAGGACGAGCTTTACGGAGATGCGGACGGCAGAAGCCATGGCCATCACAGACGTGTTGGTCCTTGGGTTCTGACAGGTGGGGGCCCATAGAGGTGGCAGCC